TGGTTTGGTTAGCCATCTGACCTGACTTGGTACAATTGTTTCCCCTTTTTGCTTTAAGTTTAATAAAGTTTAGTGTCCTTGTCTGAAGACACATCCTATGTAAAAAGGAACTTCTAAGTATTTTACAGGGACTGGTAAAATCCTATAAGGAAGCAGTATGTTGAAGTTAATTTTGTTTAGTTGGTAATACACTTGAGTTGTCTTTCTGTTTCCTGTCCTGAAGTGGAAATGGGGCCTTATTGTCTAATGAAATACATCAGTTGGGCTGAGGGTTGCTTGTATTATGCTTGCAGAATGATTTTGAAACACCTATATTAAGGTTATTATGTTTTCAGTTGCTATTCTGGTGAGTTAGCGCATGCATATATATATATATAAAATCACATATATATATATATATATATGTGCCTACAGAACAAAATGCAAAATTTAGAAACAGAGGTTTACACTAAATTCTTCTTTTTGCTGAAACAAGCTTATTGGAAGCATTAAAAAAAAAAACAACCCACAAACCAAACAAACCTGTAGGTACAGATTAAATTGCATGAGAAAACAGTGTTTAAGGTATAATACATGTAAAATATTTCTGAAATGCAGTTTTGATTCCTTTAAATAACAGACACTATCAAAGTTCTGTATGCAAAAAAAAAATTAACTTTCAAATACACCCATATGTGTTTATGATTACAGGATATGCTGTATCTTTATTTTACCACTATAGGTAAGCTAAATATGTTATGAGCTGTACAGAAAATAGTAATTAAATATATCAGACAAGTGCTCTGTCATAGCAATAGTTAATTATTATTATATCTCTGTATAAGAGACTGGGCCACAGGAAAAGAAACGTTAAAGTTGTCTTTCTAATTTGGGCATCTCTGGGTTGTTTGAACTAGCAAAATAAGCAGAATAATTCAAATGAAATTTTCCTATACTTGTCGAATTACATGATAAGAGTGTTTTGGGGGGTGGGGTTTAATAAATTAAAACCAACCAAACAAAAAAAAACCCCATCAAAACCAAAAAAACCCACAAAAAAACCCCTAAAAGATGTATAATCCTATTTTTACTGGAAAGATTTAAATAAATCAAATTTTATCCAAAATATTTGGATGGAAAAGTAAGGTAGGGATTATCTTCGCAAATTGACAAGAAATACTTTGCAATGGCAGCCTTGCTGATGGGATTCATTTGGCTCCTGCTTTGATCAGTTATATCTCCTTTTTTTTTTTAATACTTGATATGAAAGGCTATTCTCTCATAATCCTAATAATGAATGATGATATAATACAATATCACAAAAGTCATTGTAACGAGACCATTCTGCAAGTGACTTGCCATTAAGGAATGATTTTGTATTTCCACACCAGTCTCCCAAAATAATACAGGGAAATAGCAGACAGCCAGACAGGAAGGACCTTTAAAACAGGGAATCTTGTCCCAGCCTGAATCACAAATAAAATGTTTTGACTATTTTCTGAGTTAGTACTAGAGTGGTTTATAATTAGTATCTTGGCTAAAGTTCACTTGACATGCTGCTGGGAGATAGTGACCAGCAGATTAAGAATGGTTGTTTGAAAGTTTTCAGTGCTGCATTAAGAATACCATATTTGTAAAGTACTCATCCTAGTTTTACTGTTGAATTTTCTATGGATGAGACAGCCTTAGTGTGTTCTTTTAATGTTTATGCCATCTGGTTTTGTAGGCCAGCCCACAACTGAATCTATTCTTACACAAATATTTTTGCCTGGCAATCTTGAAATAGCGTGAAAAAACCCCCTTAGTTTTCAGGGAGGGGTTCAAGTGTTGGTATTTCTGACACTTATTACATGATCACTGTACATAATAAGCACTTGATAATTTTTTTTTTTTTAATGAAAAGTGTTTATCCCCATGGTGCTGTGTGTGGAGGAGAGTGCCTTGGGAGTTCTGCAGAGGGCAGGCGAGCAAGTCGCCCGGCAGCTGAGGGATGTGCCTGCGGACAGAGAGGAAGCTCCGGGTAGAGCAGGGTGCTGGGTGTGTGTTGCACGAGTTCGGTGCTGCTGCTGCAACTGCACCACAGCTTTTCCTCTGAATGTAACTTCAGGAATTGAAGAAGAGTTAACGTAGAAGGAAGGAATGTTCACCTACTACCTAATGATCAAGAAATGCATTTAGTTAATATTAAGGTGATTGTTCCACTGTAACGCAGACCTTGTTGCACAGGAGGCAGTGATACTTCTGTATTGGTGGTTATAGTCATAAGCATTTTCAGAACAGTCATTAATAACTACTTTTTTTGTCAGGTGTAGTGTATCTTCTCACTTGCTAAGACGTACTTTTCCCCCCCCGCCACTCTGGTTCCACTTTTATCCTTTTATTTATTTTTTTAGATGTTTTGTTTTCCCTTTTTTGGTTGCTGCTAAAATGTCAAGTCTCTTATGCTACAATTTTATTTGTAAATGACTGATGTTCTTACTAAATAAGCATATCAAAGCAGAGACTCATTTTGTTGGAAGGGACACTTCTGCTTTCCCAGCACAATTGACAAGTCCAAAGACAGAGAAGCTTCTCAAGAATGGTTAAAAATAATCATGGACTCTATACTTAATGATTTTTTGGTTTTTTTTCCCCCATTTTGTATAATTTTTTTGAATTCTCAGTTCAATTATAAACAAGCTTTGGCCTTGGTCACTGTGGTTTGCAGAATGTCCTACCACCAAAGTTAAGGGTATAACTTTGATCTCAAGTTAATACTTGCAGACATCCTGCAGACAATGGTCTCCTATCCTAAACAATGTTTCACTTAGAAAGCTTCCTCCTGTGTTTATAAAGTTCATTTTTAGTGAGGTGCACAGTATTTGGAAAAAGTGAGTGATGTTTAAATAGAAATTATTTGGTGAACTGATGTTTACAGGAAATGGCTAGTGGTGAAATTTGAGCAAATAATGCAGCTAATACTGCGCAAAATCTCATGAAAGAAGTATGAATTAGCAAATTTGATAATGGAAGGAGAATAGTAAAAATGGAGGCAGACACTGTGTCTATAATAACACTTTTTGTAGGAAAAGTTTGATTCCACTTGTACAAGTCATCCCAGTAGCTGTTGCAGAATGACTGCCTTTGCAATTACTTAGTTTGGGTGTCATATTTGGAGTTGAAAAGAATGCATTGAGCAAAATTTTTGGATTAGGTTTTTGAAACTGGCTGGGAATTCTTATATTACAATTATAATGTATTGAAAATACTTCTATATTATAAAAATATATTGCATCAGTCACTGGTAGTTATGATTTAATAGTGAATATAATACATGAAAGTTAGGGAGCTCTTAGTCTTAACTGTTTTTTCTCTCTTCTTTCTAATAGTACATGACAGCATTAAATACCAGTTGGTTTTCAGCTTGCTTGGTGAGTTAGTGTGTAACTCATGGTCTGAGTAATTTACTTGATGATGATCTACCTTTTACTCGGTAATTAAACTTACTTGTATGTAAGCGTGTCAGACTAACTAAACAAAGATCCAATACTCTGCATGAGTGGGTCTTGACCTTGCTGTTGCTCAAACTAATGTTTGAGCTAGGAATTTTTCTAGTTCAGTCTGATACATTAAAGCACCTATTCATCAAGTAAAAGTAGTTTTGTCTTACTGACTGGGACAACTGTATTTTCAGAACATTTTTGGACTTGCCCCTCTGAACTCCTCCACCCCCATGCTGCTAAACAAATATGGGATCTGATCCCATGTTTTATTTAAAAATAAATTTTAAGGGTCTTTTTAATAAGTTTGTGGATTCAGGTATTGGACAGTAAGGCTGGATGGCTTGTGGGTTTGACACAGAGCAACGACATGGACTGAGAAGTGTGTGGTAGGCATGGGACTATTTGCCATGATATTTTCAGAGCTCCCATTGTTTAATTTATTCTGCTTATGTGGATGTTGTTTGGGTAGCAGCAAGGATAGAAGACTGTCCTCAGCACATCAAACCTTCAGGCTCTCCTTTTTTGTAAAATAAGAGCATGTACTCGTAAAGGTTATGTGTTGACTCCGGAATTGTTTCTTAAACAAATGGAAGGAAAAGTTCCTGGAGGCCTTGCCTGCTTTAGAGAGAATCTTCTTAGAGACTGGTGTTCTATGAGCTACTAATGTGGACAAGTACAATTAAGCTGAAATCTTTGTACAAAAAGATGCTTTGCAGCTGAATGTAACTTATAATGGAATACAGAATTTAAGGGTACTTTGGATCTGCAGTTGGTTCATTGAATAGAGCATTTTTCATTGTTTAAGTATAACATCCAGCTAATCTGTACAAGACCAAAAGTGTGGGTAAAAACGCGTTATAAACTGTTGGGGATACCTTCAGGATCAGAGGAGATATTTTTCTTTGAAAGCACGGTCTAAAACTTATTTCTGAGTAGTCTTTAATTCCCGCTTCATGGCAAAATTTAATCATATTCTTAACGCTTTAAAATATGTTAAAATTGTGCAGATGGAATGTGCGTGTGGGGTTCTTCTGTGATACACCATCTATTTTAGCAGTAAACTATAGGTTTAAAATCTTTTTTATAATTGCCTAGGAACATGGTCAATTTTGTAGAGCAGACCAGGCATTACTACATCTTCCATATGTCGGTTTCACTTATGAAAGCCTACACAACTGTGTTCCACCTACAGTGCTAACTCGATTTCTTTCTGTGCTCAAGCTAGTATATCCTCTGCAAGATCTGAACTTCAGTCCCTTTTAAATTAATTAGTGTTTGTATTGCACTTTGAAAATTTAAAGGTCAATAAAAATGCTAAATGTTGGTGATCTGTATTAGAGCCTGTGTTGATTGGAAGGATGTAGCGAGCACTTGCCAACTGTTTTCCACCTCTTTCAGTTTACTGCAGAAATCCTGTAGTCTTGTCACCCATTCGCCTGCTATTTGTGATAATTGCCGTACAACTTTATGAATCTAAGTGTTCCCAGACAATTTATGATTGTATTTAATGAAGATATTGTTTCTTTTCTCTTTAAGAATGTCAAGCTGTCAGCTGAAGTAGAACCATTTATTCCTCAGAAGAAGGGTCCAGAAACACTAATGATCCCAATGGCACTTCCTAATGACAGCGGAGGAATTAATGGCATGGAACCAACTCCTATCCCTAGCTACCTGATCACTTGCTATCCATTTGTACAGGAAAACCAATCCAATAGGTAATACATGGTTGTGGTCTTCATGGAAGATGATCTATTATTAAATGAGTTTAAACTTCTGGTAGACTTGAGAGGAGTCAGTGACTGTTGGCTGTATATTCGTTTTGTTCACTGTATTTCATCTTCTGACCCTTCGTGGGTGAGATGAAGTTTCTCTGTCCCCAGTCTTTTTTTATTTATTTCCTTCCTTCTGCTGTTCTCTATTCATATTCTTTACCACTTTTCTTTCCCTGGCTACAGATGTCTGGTACAAATCCCTCACAAAGTCACCTGCTGTGCTCTTGCATCTTCCAGGGTAGTCAAGAGGTCTATGTCTGAATCTCTGATGCTAAAGCAAGGTTCCAGGTATCCAAATTGGATCCTGCCATGGCAAAACAGTATGCAGCTGAGTGTAGCTGTATCCAGTTTTCTTTGCATAACTAGTTATAATACATTGAGTTTAGGAACTCTTTCTTCTAGCCCAAATGTGTTGTTCACTGAATGCACAACTTCAATGTGGATTATTTTGTATTGAAGGCATAAATAATTATTGCTGTTTGGTTTTGAAAAATATACCCAATGTTTGCTTAGGACAGCACTTTAGTGCTGTTGCACTTGAATAGGGAAGAACAAAAATAATCCTTTAGCAACTGCTTGCTGCAGATTTGTAAAATTATCCTGAATCTTTACTTTTCCTATTCTCTTTCTCTAACATTCGGGCCTCTGCATTTTCCATGTAGATGGTCTCCTGGTCTCATGCGGGTCTGAAGAGAAAGAATTGGGTTCATAGTTTCCAAGGGGGTCTTTCTGCTGTATCGCAAATAAACACAGGAAGAAGTCTCCACGCTTGGTTTCGCTAGTAAATTTGTAAATGCTTGATTTCATGTGTGCTTCTTAAGGCCTGTGTTTTCATAGGAATTTTGAACAAGGGTGAGTTGGCAACTTAATGTACTGAAGTACTCGGCCCTGAGTTTGCTAATGAATGTCACTGTTCCATGTGTCTGCTAGCTTACCTTGTGTAGCTTAGGTATCTACTTAGGTTATATGCGTGTTCTGAAAAAATGAAATTGTAATGGGTCCGAAGTACTTCTCAAAGGAAATGCCTACATCTTATTTCTAAGTTAAATATTAGAAATTTAATAGGTTTATACAAGTGCCAAGATCAACAAAGATGTTTATTTTGCACTTGAATGTAATTTGAGCTTGTGAATCATTTAATTGGCATCTCTAAGAAGTCGTAATACATTTCAGTTATTGAAAGCTAGGAGCTCATGAAACAAATGAGTTATGCTTATTTGGTTGTTTGTTGGGTTTTTTTAAGGGGGTGGTAGAAGTCTGAAATTCCTTGAGAGGGAAAAATTTTCTGAGCAGTTGTCTTTCCTTTTGATTTTTACAGACAGTTTCCGTTATACAACAATGACATCAGATGGCAGCAACCCAACCCAAATCCTGCAGGACCATACCTTGCTTATCCTATAATATCTGCGCAACCACCTGTTTCTACAGAATATACATATTATCAGCTGATGCCAGCACCATGTGCTCAGGTCATGGGTTTCTATCATCCTTTCCCCACCCCCTATTCTGCACCCTTTCAAACAGCGAATGCTGTAAATACAGTTACTACAGAATGCACTGAGCGTCCCAGCCCCTCGGGCCAGGTCTTTCCATTATCCAGTCAGCGGAGCAGAAGCGGTAACAGGGGACCAGTCATACAAAAAGTAAGTTTGTTTTTTAGTAGGATAAGTAGAACTGTATAAAGAAAATACCTTTGCACAAGAAGTACGCATCTCATTTGAGTAAGAACAGGTATGTCAGTAGTATCAATGGAAGGAAAGGTGGGCAGAAAAGGTGTTAATCAGAATACCAAAACTCTGCCTACAGAGACATTTTGTGGTAAAATACTTGGTGAGTTTATAAAGCCTGCAAGCATGACATGGGAAACTCCCTTCCACTGCCTCTCTGCTGGTTTGGTCTGAGTGTAGAATTACTTCATTAGAGAACAAAGGAAGTACACCCATACTTTCTTATCATCTTTTTGATACTTCCACATCATAACGAACAGTTCATGCAGAAAATACTGCGAAGAGGTTAATAAATAAAATATTTTTATTAATATTTCCCTTATTGTCTTGTCTTTAAACGTGTGGCTTCTGTAGAAAGCATTAGAACTTTTAATTGCTTTGATTACAACTATGAAGTCAAATCATATGACTTATGTGTATGTGTGGCTAATCTTTTAAAACAGCAACAGCAGTTACAGACGCACATAAAAAATAAACGTCCTCCAGTGAAAAATGTTGCCACTCAAAAGGAGACTAGTTCATCAGGTCCTGAGAACAGATCAAAGATTGTTTTGTTGGTTGATGCATCACAGCAAACAGGTAATGTCTTTCTTGTGTTCTAGGTGTACGAAATAACTAGAACTACATATCAGTTGCCATCTTTCCTAAAAGAAGGTGGACTTCACCACTGTCAAAACCACTCTTCTTGAAGGAGCTGATTATTATTAATAGTTGGACCTAGACATAATTTTTTAAAATTCAATGCTCCTCTTAACTTTGTTAAAAGGAAATTGTTGTCATGTGCAAAGACTTTTGCTTTTTCCATTTAATTTTGTTATGTAGGTTTTTCATGTCTCTTAATTCCTGCACAAGTAATTATATTTTTATTGTGTCTTACAGACTTTCCTTCAGATATAGCTAATAAGTCACTTTCTGAGAGCGCCTCTACAATGCTTTGGAAATCAAAAGGCAGGCGCAGAAGAGCTTCTCACCCTGCTGCAGAGTCCTCTAGTGAACAGGGCGCAAGTGAAGCAGACATTGACAGTGACAGTGGCTATTGTAGTCCCAAGCATGGCAATAACCAGGCTGCAGCCGTGACTTCAAGAAATACAGATTCTTGTGCAATGAATGTATGTAAACATGACTGAATAACTTAACTATATTTGTATCCTACAGGCTAATAAAAATTACTAAGAAAATTTGTTTTTTCCTTTTCAGGTTGTAGAACCATCAATAAATACAAGTAAGCATTGTCTTAGCTGGTGAGCTGTTTAAAATTTGGCTGGATCACTTTTGTATTTTTGCTTTACATTTTGCTAGGAACCATCTCTCGATCTACTTCCAGCATGTTACTCTAACTGATCAGATACTTCTGAAGATATGTCTTTACTGTGATTTCTACCACCTTCACCAAGACCCCTGTTACTTGTTGAATGAACAAGTGTATAAGTAGCTGTCGTTAATGACCTTTAAAAGATTGAGAAAGCCAGAGACTCAAATGGAAGCATTCAGACAATGCTGTGCTTCTGCTGTATTTTATCCTCAAGGTTCCTTACTCTGTTGGACTGCAGTTCATACCTGGGTAGTAACAGAGCCAGAGAGTTCTCATTCTCTACTTGAGAAGTACTGATACTTTTAGGAGCTTTAAACAAGTACTGCGACGTGAACAACTATTTTGATTTGTCTAGTAGTAGTGGGTAAGGCAAGTGGCTGTTATTTATGACTGGACCGAAATTGTTATGGATGTGAACCTGAGATTTCTTTTGTCTGACTGCTTCCTGATGATCATTTGTTGGCAATTGGAATGTCTGTCATCTGACTCTTCCATAAACGCAATTCTGCTAACTTCTAGAAATAGCTACAGAAGTAAAGGTTGTCAGAGGACAATTACACTTTCTCAGAACTTTGTGTCAAAATTGTGTTCCTGCCTCTGGTGGCATGTGTATCATAATGATGCATTCTGTCATATTAATTCATTTTTTCATAGATGGCACTTCTCTTTCAGCTGGTGTAAGTTGGACTAATGTAAATTCCCAAGCAACTCAAAAAAAACCTTGGATTGAAAAAACTCAGACATTTTCTAGAGGTGGAAGACAAGCTGAGCAAAGAAATAGTTCACAGGTATGTTGTTAATGGTTCTAAGTTTAAGTATTCTGTTTCTTGTGATATATGAAAATAAGGAATTTGAAATGGGTTATAAAATTAACATACAAAGAATAGTTGATGAAAACAGTGAATGAAAAGTGTAGAAACTCAACCTAGTTGAGTCCAGTTGCACGTTTCTACCTTGTATGTTTCTTGAGCTAGCACTATATCATATATAGATAGATAGATAGATAAAAAAAATAAAACTTTGTGTACTTGGCAATCTTCTGCCTATAGCCTGTTCTTTATATGTATCTACCTAGGAAGAACATTACATATATAAAGTAACTTGTGAAATGAAGACAGTGTGGGTGTAGAAAAGTTAGTTCAGTTTTTGACCCATTCACACTTCAGAAGAAAAAAAAAATCAAACTTTCTAAAGAAAGATTCTGATGTGATGGTGAACTAGAATCCTGTGTTCTTATTCCTGTTGTCTTTGAAACTTTCTGTTTTAAATTTATATTAGTATACCGTATTATTTAGAATTTTTATTATTAATAAGTTAATTTAAATTGTTTTATGCTAAAACTTGAAGAACATGTTTCTGTGAAACTTCCTTCAAGTGAGACAGGATTTCTGTAATTAGTATGTGAGAAGAAGGTGGCCTTCCTAATTTTGATAGTCTAATTTTATT